TAGAAGGCGGAGGAACAGGCGGCAGGAAAGAAAGAGGAAAGGCAGGAAAGGTCTTTTCTTTCCCCATTGTTTCTCACTGCCAAGAAGTCGGCTGTGTGGTGGGCTGACTCTCAGGGTGAGGGGGGCCTTGATCCTGGAGAAAGGATTCTACAATCTCTTCTTTAAAATCCCAAGCGGTGGAGCATCCACAAGGCAAGCTCTTCCCTTGATTAATTGTTTTGTCAGGAAATTTCTCCTCAGTTCCAGTTTATCTTTCTCTTTAATGAGCCTCCACAGATTGATTCTTGTTTTGCCCTCGGGTGCTTTGAAAAATAAATCCACCTCCTCTTCTCTGTGACTGATGACAGGCAGCTGTCATCCGGAACCTAAGTACCTAATCCATCCCTTCATTAGGCTAGAGTCCAGATGTTAAACTGCTCATCATACAGTTTGGCTTATGCAAATCCCTTATCATTAGGTTGCTCTTCTGTGCCTCGAGGGCAGTCATGGCTCACCTTTTCCAGGCTGAGTGCCCAAAATGCAGGCACGCACATGTAACCCTCCAAAACCCAAAGCATGCACAGCCCATGTGCCCCCTCCATGCATCCCGCCCCCTGCACGTGCACGACAGAGACCCGAAGACCAGCTGGCCACCGGGAGGCGTGTGCGCATGTGTGTCAGAGCTCAGGCAACGGCTCGTGTGCCCACAGAGAGGGCACTGCATGGCACCTCTGGCACGTGTGCCATAGGTTCGCCATCACGACTCTAGGACCTCAGCATTTTTTTTCTTTTTTCTTTTTTGCATTGTGGTGACCAGGAGTAGACCAGGAGTTGCAAGCGCGGACTCCCTAGTGCACCAAAGAAGCATTGAGAGAGAGAGCCCAAGTATGCTAGACATCCACTAGCCACACAATGTTCAAATAAGGGCCTCTCTGCATTTGCAGAAGTCTAACTCTATTATCCCCATATCGAAGCGCTATGAGCAGCCTGGCTAAGCCATAAGTCTTTAATGTCCTCAGGACAATGTCCCCCCCACAGCCAGGCCTCTAATAGCAATTCCCAGTGAATTTGCTTGCATTGTTTGGAGAGAAGATTGGATTTTTATTATCCCGTGAACACATCAAGAGACTTGGATCCCCTCTGCGTGCGTGCAGGCAGTCTAATTTTGCAGGATTAATTTGCAAGCAAACTTCAGGATCTGGCAAGTATTCAAAGCTTCAGCCTACCTCATAAAGCCTCAAGTCTTTTTCTTGAACAAGCTTTTTCACAAAAGCTGCAATGAAAAGTGTCCAAGCAGCCATTAATGTAACCGGAAGAGAGTAGGTCACACTGGTCAGAAACCTGTAAAAAGCAAAGTAATTATTTAGGTGAATGCAGAGTGGTTTCCCTTTGTGAATCATAATTAAGATAATTTTCAAAATACTATAAAAGCCTTTGAACAGTAAAAATGTTTTCTCTCTCACAGTCTATAATTAAAAAGTATTTGATCATTTTAAGAACAGGAATATATTTTGCTGAATGCAACTTCAGCCTTCTTTGATAAATATCTCATTCTACCTCAACTTCTAATCACACAAGTACAGAGATACGAACTTTTGCACTGTAAAGCATTGCACAATGGCTACAATATGCAGCTACTTTGCACGACTCCTGATCATTGATTTGATTTTTTTACATCCCCGCAAAATCTTAGAAGTAGCTGATGTAAGATGATGTCCACAAAAGCCAAAGTCCATTGTTTTGTAATTCAATATTCTCCCCAAAATTCAATATCTAGTTATATGTCCAAAATAACAGCATATTAATGCTCACACAGCACTTTAAAACTCTGCATGTCATTGAGGTTTCCAGAGCAATGCACAATGAAACCATCAAGCTCCAGTGATGAAATACAGTAATATACACTAAATTCAATCAAGAAAAAACATTAAACCTGGGTGCAATCAATGATTGTGATATCATACGGCTGGCACTGATGGAATGATGGAAATAACCAGATAGAACGCGTTCATTTTTGGCTGAATCACTTCACCTTGTAATATTTCTCATCATAATGCAGAGATCATCATGCCATCTACTGGGTTTTGGCAACAACATATGTTCTCATATACTTATGCAAAGCATCCCATGCAAAACAGAATGACTCCATAGATCGTGCATGAAAGAGAAGTGAGGAGGCACATGACAACACTCTGCAAATACCTGAAGGAGTCCTCACAAAAAAAATGCTACATCCTGCTCTCCGCCATCACAAACTGCAGGGTGTGGAATAGTGGATTTAAGTTAGAAGACGGCAGGAAAAAAATCATAAAAGTAAAGATAAATTTTAACAGGAGGGACAAATATTAAATGGGTGATGAGCTGCATTCAATCAAGCTAGATGACTATCTGTCAAAAATTCCTGCAACTAACCCTGAGGTCACATTCACAGGCCTAAACATAGTGGTGAGTAAAAATAATTCATCATAATCACTGTTAATGGAGCATAAAAAACTTTATCCCAACTCTCATTTGATACTTTCTTATGCATTTCATACAATTAATACATTTTAGCTATTTTTTCCCCACTGAGACATTAAATATCCTACCAATTCACACAGACTTACATGTCTTTATTATAACAAGGATACGGTGTAGCCTGAACCTGGACAGCTATTTCTTCTGCACTCTTCCCAGTCTGTAGCTCAATTATTGCTCTATCGATGTTATCTTGGACGTAGACAAATGCTCGACTGTAGATTTGGCTTTGAGAGGCTGAAGTATGTGGCCCCACGGTCCAAATTTGTTCCCGTATTCTTTTTGTTGTTTGGGAAATCTTGCTGCTCATTCGGATGGTATAATTGACTAAAGGTGGGAGGGAAACTCCACTGGGTGTTATGTGTTTTCCTGTCCCATTTGAAGGTAAATTGAAAATGACACCTTTTAAAAAGGAAGAGAAACATTTGCAATTACTAAATAACTAGTATATGATAAAAATGTATGAGCCCAACAGAGGCTGCACCCTGATTTATCCATTGGGAGAATAATAGAATAAAAATGAATAATGTCAGTTATGTTGGTGTAATTTACAACTGACTTCTGTAATTACTATTGAGGTTTCATTCAATCCAAATCCTTTACCTGTTCTTACCTGTTCAGAAGTATTTCCAGAGGGCTGCAGTGAAATGATATATTCTGCTGGTTTTTACCTATATGCATTCCAGGATAGTTTATTTGTTGATAAAATAATTTAATTCATTGAAAATGAAAAACGTGTCACATGTGCATTAGTTTGATCATAGGAGTATTTGAAATTATGGGCCTGGCAGGTTAGCTGAAATAATATGTCTAATCTTGATACTTTTTTAAAAGTTCCAGTGGGAAAAAATCTCCATACAACCTTACTTACCTGCCAAAAGTTCATTTCTCAGAAACAGGTCTTTTGCCATCATCTCCATTTCCTCTACAGTTTTGCCTGGATGGATGCGATCAAGCAGCACACATGAAGAGGCATTTACTGAAAATCTTGCTAAAGTAATAAGTTGATGTATTATGTCAGTGCTATTCTGTAGTTCCAAACGTATATCATCTGAAATAAAAGAAATCAAGCAAGAAATAATGTCTTACCAACATCCCTTCATGGATTACTGCCTTGTCACGGCGAAGGGCCCTGCGTAGCTCAATGAAGCTATGAGCTACATCATGCAGGGCCACACATGACGGAGAGGTCATAGGCAGAGAGCTCTGTCAAAATGTGATCCACTGGAGAAGGAAATGGCGGCCCACTCCAGTATCTTTGCCATGAAAACCCCATGGACAGCAGCAAAAGGCAAAAAGAAATGACGCTGGAAGGTGAGCCCCTCAGGTTGGAAGGTGTCCAAATGCTACTGAGGAAGAGCAGAGGGCTTTTACTAGTAGTGCCAGAAAGGGTGAAGCAACTGGGCTAAAGCCAAAAGGACGCTCAGCTGTGGATGAATCTAGTGGTAAAAGGAAAGTCCGATGCTGTAAAGAACTATACTCCATGGGAACCTGGAATGTAAGATCCATGAATCAAGGCCAGCTGGACATGATCAAACAAGAGATGACAAGACTGAACATCGACATCTTTGGAATCAGCAAACTAAAATGGACAGGAATGGGTGAATTTAATTCAGGTGACCATCAGGCAAGAATTCCTCGGAAGAAATGAAGTAGCCTTCATAGTAAATAAAAGAATAGAAAAAGCCATACTGGGATATAATCCCCCAAAAAATCCCCAGGCAGGATTTCGAAGAGGCAGAGGAACTAGAGATCAAATTGCCAACATACACTGGATCATGGAGAAAGCGAGGGAGTTCCAGAAAAACATTCCTTGGACTGCAAGGCGATCAAACTGGTCAGTGCTAGAGGAGATCAACCCTGGCTGCTCTTCAGAAGGCCAGATCTCTGAAGATAAAACTCAAATCCTTTGGCCACCTGATGAGAAGGAAGAAGGACTCCCTGGAGAAGAGCCTCATGCTGGGAACGACGGAGGGCAAAAGAAGAAGAAGGGGACGGCAGAGAAGGAGGTGGATGGATGGGGTCACTGAAGCACCAGGCGTGAGCCTAAGCAGACTCCAGAGGATGGGAGAGGAGAGGAAGGCCTGGAGGAACGTTGTCCATGGGGTTGCGATGGGTCAGACATGACTTTGCAACTAACAACAAGAACTTACCAACATACTCCAAATTATAATGTCTTACCGATTTTAAAATTCACAAAAGCCCCCAAATTATCAGAAATTAGTTTAATAAATTTAGTTATGAAATTCCTAAAGCTTTAAATGCTCTTTGTCAATAGACTTGTTTTCATAGGATGTTATTGCTATTAATAATAATAAATGTTATGTAACATAGCTGCAGATGTGATCTGTCTCAGATTGTAGGTAAGAAATTTTCTGTAAATGTTCATCCCATCCTTTCTAACTGTATGATTTTTTTTCTTCTTCACCCACGTAGAGTCTGTATATAGTATACACACTCACACAAACACACACATAAATATACACAAATATTCATATAGCAGATTTGATTTTGTTCAGAAATGCTTTACTAATGGCCAGGTTTGTCTTACAAATAGGAGTTTCTCATCATCTTAATAACATTTAATAGGAACATAAGGAGTTACAGGCCAAGATTTGTGAGAAAGTTTTTTTGCCACAATTGTTGGTTATCCTCTAAAATGTGATGTAGTTTATAGTTCATTTTTAATTTATATGACAGAATAATGCAATTAAACCTATATTCATCCTATACTACAGTACCATCACTATTCAGTCAAGAACCTATACTGTACCTGATGGTGAAATGAAGATACACAATAACTTACCCAGTTGATTAATTTGGTTTAACAATTCAACAGCATCCAGCTCCACCATGAGTTTGATGAAAACTTGTACAAAAGGATTCTGCAATGTGTTCTGCCAAATGACATGATGAGTATTTAATATTCAACTTCAAATACATTAGGCTATTTTTTCAAATTGTGGTTGAAATGATTCCCCTCAAATAAAAAAAAATTGACATTTCCCAGTAAAGCGTCATTTTAATATAACATATATTAAAATGACACTTTATCCACATTATCCATCTTTAGAGTCCTTCTTAAGGACCCAGGGGAAGCAAATAGTGTTGTTTAATAGTGTTAAAAGTATCATCACAGGAAGTATGCTGTTTCAAATAAAGCTGCATTTTGAAATTGATTGATGGTGATTTTGTCAATGCTGATGGTATTCAAGTGGTGTTCCAGATGTTTTGGGATTGCATCCAAGGTATTTCTATTGGCACTATTGTTATCTTGTTTGTATAATAACAATTATTACTGGAAGGAAGGAAAAGAGGAAGGAAGCTCAGACTAATTAGGAAATGAAAGCAAATGGGAAGAGTCATTCTTATCTAGAGGATCATTAATCTTATTTTGTTATATACCACAAGTAAAATAAATATTTGTGGTAGTTATCAAGCTGCATTCACATGCAAAAATGATAGAAAAAATCTCTCTGAAGATATTAATGACCATATTTGGGACCAGCTACTTGGTCGTTAAGCAAAGCAGTTGCTAAGTAAAACATCATGATTTTACTATCTTACTTCAGCTTTCCCCTGTTTTACAGATCTGTGAAGGTCATAAATGTGAGGACTACTGGTCATTGAAAAAACCTGCAGTTGGTTGCTAAGAGAGGAACTTGCTAAATGAGGACTACCTGTATTTCTGACACAAAATTTCCTCGTAAGATTTGATTCACTATACAGTAAGTTATGCAGGTATTAATAACTGAGTGGAATCAAGGGCACTCACATAAATAAAACTCTCTGCATAAATTAAGTGAAAATATGATGTATGAGATGAGATGTTATATGAGATCTAATATGAGATCTAAACCAGGGTAAAGTCCACAGAAATGTTTCCATGAAAAAATGTAAAAATAATTTCTTTCAGAAACAAGAAGGAAATCACTTTCCTAATGAAGATCTCTGTTCCCAACAGCTTCACAAGCAAGAGTTTTCTGGACTTTTCTAAGAGGATCTTTGGCACAAAAACATTAGTATTGCTTCATTCAGCCGTAAAAATGACAATTCTCACAATCCTAAAACACGAAACACTAGAAGATTATCTATTACCTATTGTTATATTGAATGTGCTTTATTGACTAGCATGAATTTCATCCACTGCTTTTTTATGAATAAAGATAGCAAGATTGATTGCAAATTCATTGTAAATATAATGAGGCACCCCCCAAAAATAGGAGCCATAGCTACATTTTGGGGATTAAACCCTGATTTATATAAAAAAAATTCTGAATTTACATTTTGAACTCAGACATGTTGTGATTTATAATACATAAATACTTCAATTCTCTTATTTCTGATATCATAGCGCTTCGAAAAGAGAATACCTGCTTTTATAATTCAGCGAAAGGTTGGCAAAAGTTCACTAATTTGTGGAGGAAATAAAACCTTTAGACTGCACCCTTTTCCATAAAATAAAATAGCATAAATTAATGTAAAATGTTATGCTAAACTAATACCAGTATATGTGTTAAAACTAAGACAGTTTAAGAACTGTGCAAAATAATTAAAATCTGATAAGAACTCCATTTAAAGCAAAAATAACATTTAAATAATAATAATAAATATTAAATAATATTTAACTAGAGTTATTTATTAGGAAATAAACCACAATGGAGCTTAGTTCCAGATGGTGCCAGATAGTGGAGGTTCCATATTTTCAAGTGTGCCTTATAAAATCCAATAGTAGCAAAAATTTTGCACCATGTATACTTATCCTAACAAGTTAAATTTGAAGTGAATCATGGCAGGCATCACAAAAAAAAAAGTGTTGAATCCCAATTTACTCTGGTTGCTTTCAGCATCTCTTGAAAATATATCAGTGCAACATCTCACCGTCATCATTATGCCGATGCCCTGGATCTGGGACAGGATATTTTGATAGTTATGCAATGGGAGCTCAGTGGGGGTCTTAGTGGTAAAGCAGCTAAATATGAGCCAACAGTGTACAGTGGCAGCAAAAAAGAAAAAAAAGCCAATGCAATCCTCAATTGCATTAACAGAGGGATACAATCAAGATCAAGTGAGGTACTAATGCCACTCTATAAAGCCTTAGTAAGGCCACACCTAGTGTACTGCATCCAGTTTTGGTCACCACACTATAAAACAGATGTTGAGACTCTAGAAAGAGTGCAGAGAAGAGCAACCAGGATGATGAGGGGACTGGAGGCTCAGATATACAATTGACAGTTGCAGGAACTGGGCCTGGCTAGTCTAGGGAAGAGAAGGACCAGGGGACACATGGTAGCAGTGTTCCAATATTTGAAGGGTTGCCACCGAGAGGAGGAGGTCAAGCTATTGTCCAAGGCACCCGAAGGCCAGACAAGGAAGCTGATCAAGGAGAGATTCAACCTGGAA